ATTTGGTAGCCAATTTTATTGACTTGGTTTGGTTTGGTAGCCAACATTGTTAAAATTGTGAAAAGGGTGTGTAAATTGTCAAATATTGTAGGCTTTAGAGAGTGAGGTTTTGGCTATAAAAGGAGAGCTTTAACTCTCATTTCTATACACCAACAAAGAGAGAAAAGAGAGAGAGAAAGGTATTCCATAGACTATAAGAAAATAGTCTATGAAGAAAAATAGAGTGTGAGAGATATTGTAGTGAGTTGAAAAAGTAAAAGAGTGTTTATTTCTTTTGAGGGTGTAGTGGTCTTAGGAGTATTCTTACTCGTTACTACACAGTGTAAAATCCTCGCTATAGTGATATCAGTTGCTCTTCTTGGCCGTGGTTTTTCCCTTATTCAGAAGGGTTTCCACGTAAAATCTTGGTGTCATTTTGCTGCATTTTTTACTCTTGCTGATTTAACCATAACTTAGTGGTCCGCGTTTATCACTAATACCGTGAATATTATTTTTACGGGGTTTATTCCCAACAACTGTTTCTCACCAAAAGTACTTTTGAGAAAAGCACTTTTGAAAAAAAAGCACTCCTCAAAATAAGCTGATTTTTACAGCTTGGCCAAACGGGCTATTAGTCCAACGTATCAAGATTCAAGCATAATTTGTTTAATTTTTTCTTCAAGCATAATTCGAATGACGCAAATCCATTCATCAAACCTTTTCTTTTTAGTTAGCTATAACATTTTTGCTTAGTAGTAAAATTTTACTAGACGAGAGAAAAAAGAGTTTGATTTCCTTTTAGTTTTTAATTTCCATTTTCCTGCCACAACCTTTAAGCCATCTTCACCTTCGTACCAAAGGACAGCCTAGTACACAAAATATTTCGTGTTTGTGCAAGTTCTAAGGAAGGGTCGCACTCAAGGAATGTGATGTACCCTACATAAGACAAAGAGAAACACACACACACCCAAAAACCCCTACCCCTCCGGGCAAAAAGAAAGGAAAACTTTTGGTTTGTTTATATCTATTTTATGTATAAAAGGTATCCGATTCGAGATTACTAAGACAATTATCGAACGGCTTTTTTTTATGTATGGAACGTGTACAACATGCAGTACGTGATTAGAAGAGTACTTAATTAGTTTGGTTGAACTTCATAATTTTAGCCCAAAGAGCTGCTGGAGTTTCCTATTTTTGTGACTTCAAACGTGAATTTTCGTAATTCGATCGCGTATGTCTGAAATTTTAAAAGTGGTTAAACTTTTGTAGGTCCAAGTGACATGTAGTTTCAACCAGGCTCTCACTTACAATCTGCTAATCTTTTGGGGATTTTTACACATGTACTTCTTTTTTTAAAATTATTCTCATAAATAATATTTTATTTGTTCCAATTTGTTTGATATAGTTCCAACTTCAGAGAGTTTAACCACTGACTGACTTGAGAAGTCCATACTCCATTGCAACCTAGTATTTTTATCCAAAACATGGATCTATCGATAAAAATACAAAACTAAGAAGATTCAACCTAAAAATATTTTATTACTTTCATTGAATTAAAGTTCCAAAAGGGAAAAACTAATCATAGGAAATAAATCCGAATTGAATTCGGCGACATAACTCGTCCAATGTTTGATGGGTCGAGATTGATTAGATTAATTTGAGCTAAACAATAAGTTATAACCAATTTATCCAATCTACTAAACTAGAATCATAAAAAGAAATAAAAATAATTAAACTAGAATCATAAGCTCTCCTTCTCATGTTCACCTCAGCCAAATAAAAAAGGGTTGACTAAGAACGTGAGAGTCACTCATGATTTACTTTTTTTCATGTGATTTTATTATTTTTATTTTTTAGGTATGGATAATCCCAATTATAATCAAAGTAATATTATTATAGTGCTGAATCAGAAAATTAAATTTAAAAAAAAAAAAGCTCTTTCCAAGCCAAATATCTTAGATACATTATTTTCCTCTAAAAATTTATAACAATTCATGTTAGGTATGATATTACATTATTACTAGACAACAAAGAAGCCTAATTAGGTGTAATGCGAAATTATGGTTTGCACGTCATAGGTAGTGACCTTCCATTACATACCTCTTAATCAAAAACACTTCAACATTTCTATAAATTCATGAACATGTTTTCTTCTAGTTATAGCAATTAATTAGCCCAATTAATTTTTTGACAAATATTCTTGAAAGAAATGAAGATGAAGGCTGTTAATTTCATGGTGGCTGCAGCTTCATTAATTGTGGTGTTTTCTAATTTCATGAACGTTGCACAAGCCTTTGAAGGAATGGATGTAATACATGTTGCTGGCAAAGTTCTTTGTCAAGATTGTACTCAGGGTTGGAATGAATGGGTTGATGGTGCCAAACCCATCAAAGGTATGTAATTTACAGTTTTACACTGATAAAATCCATAATTTAGACGTTGTGGGTTCTGAATTGAGAGAGTAGGTCCTAAAATGTATGTCCAACTCTATCTATACTTGTTTTAACACATATATATGTAATGCTCAATCCCGAAACACTCGTTCTAACGAACTCACAAATCAATTGGTTGAATCCGCCATTGTAATTTACCATAAACTTCTCCATAATGATGAAGTTTGTGACTAGTTGCAGAGCTAGAAATTTTATTAGGAGAATTAAAATATGAAGAAATAAAAAAGAATCCAACTCCTCTTCGTTATTGAGCAAACTAAATAGTGTAATTTTCTGACGAAAGGGTGTAAGTTGACACCCCTTCACCTAAGGTTGCTCGACCACTTCTTGTGACGCTCGCGGGTGAAAATTATCTAAACTGGGGTTTAAAGAATGTTTTGCAACAAAGTTAGGGAGTGCCAAATGTATATATATTCCTTTAGCAAATGGTTTAGAAAGGCTTTTTTAAAAAAGATTCGAAAATAATATGATGGTCGTATCTATATAAAATAGGTTCTTACTTCTACGTACCTTAGCAAAGGTTTTACAAGGTAACTAGGTTTACAAATGAGGTACATTTCACGCAGAGGCAAATCAAGAATGTGTTATACAACTCTAGTTGAAGTCACTAATTTTTTGCTCGAACCATAGTATACATATGCAAAAATATTTAAAATGCATATAAATAGAGTCAATGTTGGCAAAAGCAAAATGCGTTAAAAAGCGTTCCAAGTCCATCGGGGCTTTAAGCAAAAAGCACTATTAAAGAGTGAATTTTAGTGCAAAAAGGCGCAATGAAAAGAAAAAAAAAACATATATATGTAATACAAGAAATAAGCAACAATTTCATTCATAATGATTTTCTTTATAAATAATAGTATTTTTTTTGTCAATCATATTTATTGTTTTATACTGCTCTATTCAAAATAGAACTTATGGGCAATGAGACACACATATTAGTGTCTTACCCAATTATGTCTCAAATGAGTCTTTGATAACAACTACAAACAACAACAACAACCCAGTATAATCCCACTTAGTGGGGTCTGGGGAGGGTAGTGTGTACGCAGACCTTACCCCTACCCTAGGGTAGAGAGACTGTTTCCAAATAGACCCTAGGGTAGAGAGACTGTTTCCAAATAGACCCTGGCATCCTTCCCTCCAAGAACTTCCCACCTTACTCTTGGGGAGACTCGAACTCACAATCTCTCGGTTGGAAGTAGGGGTTGCTTACCATTAGAGCAACCCCTCTTGTCTTTTTTGATAACAACTACATATAGAGTAAAACTACATTTATTTTGAACTCATTGATTCTAAATCGTGAATTCGCTTCTAATCTCATGCAGGTAGTATAGTATCACTTACATGCCTAGATGAGAGGAGAAGAGTAATGTATTATGGAAGTGACCTTACAGATGAAGCTGGAAAATTTGACTTGATTACAAACACAACTTGTTATGGCAAAACCATTAAACCTCAAAATTGCTTTTTGAGATTGGTTTCTTCACCTGATCCTGTTTGTAACATTGCCACTGACTTCGCCGGAGGAAAGTCCGGTATAAAACTCCACCGTCCGACGGTGATTTACAGGGATTTGCTCAAATATGTACTTGGTCCTTTCTATTACACAACTCCTATGTGTGATGAACCTGATACTAATGATGATGATAATTTGGAGTCTGATGATGAAGGCAAAGGAAACAACTATTAATAAACTTAAGTTCTTGATTTTTCCCCCCTTTTCTTTTCATTTTAATGTTTGTTTTTTTATCATTGCAAATGGTAAATGGCAATATATCTATTTTGGATGAATTGACATTTTTCTTTTGTACTAATTTCTTGTAAAAGACACATTTTGAATTGTTGATTAACAGATAATAGAGGTATGTCTTTTATTAACACATTCTGTCGTTGTCTGTGTTACTGCTCCCTTTTGCATCTTCCGTGCCTCTTTATTTTCATAAGGTAGGGTAAAGTCTGCGTACGCACTATCCTCCTCAGATTACACGGGTGGAATTTTCCTGAGTTTGTTAGGTATGTCTTTTGCCAAATTTTCTGTTTTCAACTTCATTCCTTCTCATCAGTAATGAAGTTGATATATTGGGATCACTTAAGTGGATAAAACCCAATCTAGCTTTGTCCATAATTAGATCAAAGTTGAACATTAAGAGGTTGTATTTCCCTAATTAGAAATTTAGATAAGTTAGTATTGATCCTAAAACATCCAGATTTATCCATGACTCAAGATTAGCAGGCCGGCCCACGTTGAAAGTACTGAATCCACGACAATTGCTCCATTGCTGGCCCATTTTTGCGCATGCAATACTAATTCATTGTACAGAAGGAGAAACAAAAAAGAAAATACATAATATATACTAATATATTGTAATATAGAATTAACCCAAATAGCTGTCTACCTTGCCATTTAAATTAAAAATAGCTGGTGAATGTATAATATATACATAATTTATGTATTACATATGTATAATTGTGTAAAATTAATGTATAATCTATATATGTGGCTAGAACAAAGTAAACAACTAATATGGCTGGCTATTCATGTAAAGATCCCAACAAAAAAAGGACATTTGAAGAACACAAATGTATTGTTCCAATTCGATGTTGCGCTCACATATTATTTTATCCACGCTCTAGTTGATGTAAAAATAGCACGGGTTAGCCAGTTTTCGGATTGACCATTCAAAAGTAGCCATCGTTTGCAAAGTCAATGAAAAATAGCCACTATTTTGCTGCAACACGAAAAGTTCCAGCATGATATACTGGAGATTGATGCACCTGTGTATGAACTTCCAGCATATTATGTTGGAACTCCAACACGCGGAAAGTTCCAGTATATTATGCTGGACCGGTATATTATACTGGAACTCCAGTATATTATGCTGGAGTATTTTTCGGATTTTGAACAGTGTTTTCGTTCAAATTTATCTTTACATGAAAAGTGACTAAATTTTAATTACTTTTAATATTGTGGTTATTTTTTAATGACCACTTGTAAATCTGGCTATTTTTTTTACAGTTCTCGACATTTGAGCTAGTGAAGTTGAGATCTTCAGTGTCTTTTTTTGGTGGAATCCTAATTAGATTTCTTACTTATTCCGGCTTTTAAAACAGTTGGCTGGTAAGCAAAAAATAATTGCAACCGCTATTATCCAATATAAAAAAGTGTATAAATATTAATTATGTATAATATTTGTATATAAAATATATATTATACATTAATATACAAAAAATAATCTCAGCTATTATTTTAGATGTCGGCTATAAAAATTCCTACTTTTTTATATGTTTATATTTGCCCCAAAAAATTGGTGTATAAGTAATGCGGGAAAGCATTTCAAGATTCAAGCTAACATCCCTCGTTAAAGCTATGGAATAGACTATTCAACTACAGTGTGTGACAGACCACCTTTAATTTTAAAATTATTAAATGACACAATTTGGTATTTTTTCAAAAGTTTACTTAGCACGATTACTAGTCTATGGAATATATTATTCTAATAACATGTAATACTAAATATATGCACTAAATTAAGCTACTTAATATATAGTAATAGCATGCAACTCCTTTTAAAAAAATTTATTAGAATAACTTGCTATTACATGTTATACTACATTTGGAGGTGTCTAGTTCTTTTTGCACTATCAGTAAATATAACCTAAATCCTACTCCTTTAATATCCAATAATTAGTCGTTTGGCATGCTGAATTTGTTACAAAAATATTTGACGTTTTAGGAAAATAAGAAATTATGTTTGCTATCCTATCCTTACTCCTGGATGTAGTGTATTGTTAATTGTAGGGATTTTTTCATAAAGCACCATTTTTTTGGTCTAATTAGCCATTTATAGATACTTTTTGCTATATTACGTGTTATAAATACCTTTTATGTTTTTACACAATGTATTTCATGTATTTAAGTTGTTGTATTCATTAATACAACCAAAAATATAGGCGTAAAATCTGGAATTTCAACTAAGTTTGACATGTATATAGCTGTATTCAAGAGACATTAACATTAAATACAATAACGTATCTGCGCTAAAAACGGAATAAAATAAAATAACATGATATTCTCCTAATTTAACTCAACGAACTAAAACGATCCCTCATTAATTTGTATTTGAA